TATATAAGTTATATGATAGACAGTCTGGTGCTGGAGATGCCGTGTGGTGGGGAGCAGCTCAGTAGAAGACGTTCGGTGAGTATCGTGTTGAAGGAGGTAGATGTGCAGGAGCTTCGTTAGAGAAGGTGTTGCCTGTTGCTGGCCTCCTGGTTGAATGAAATGTTAACAGCGTGGAGCTTGCTGGAGGAGATGTTGCTTGTTCAGGAAAATGGGCAGAATGAGAGTTGGTTGGTGAGGAAGCTCAGGGAAGGACAGCTGGTGGGTCGCCATGCTCGCCGGCGGGAGCGAGGACCGCCAGGCAGGCGAGGAGATGCGAGGGGCAGCCAGGCAGCGGCGGAGGAGGAGGTGTTGCTTGTTCAAGAAGAATGGTCAGAATGAATCTCAATGACTGATGTTGGGGATTACTGGCCTCTTCGCCATTAGGCTATTTCGGCCGAAGCTGATGTCTTCTTTCTTCTTCTAATCTTGGTCTTCTTTCTTGCTACAACTAATCTGATGTTCTTGTTTTTTCTTTTCTTGTTATTCTTGTGTTCTTTTTGTTCTTGGTATTTTGGTTACTTCTTTCTTCTTGTTGTTTTATTTGGGATGAATTATGGTATGCATGAGTGATATGATGGTGAGTTAGTGACAGACCAGATGAAATGGCTTGTCAGGTGACTAGTTTCTCTGTGATTTTTTTTTTTTTTATTATTTTTATTTTGTCTTTTGTAGCCCGTGTCTTTTTGTTTGAATATATGTTGGTGGGTGTCAGTTTAGCTTGATAAATGTGAGTGTTGTATGTAATGATAAGGTTTGTGATGTGTTTCTCATGTTGTATGTTTTAATTTTTGTTTTATTCATTTTTATTTTTTTTTATTTTTTATTTTTTAAGGCATGGTTACATACATATAATAGATATAAAAAGAGTTCATGCGTGTGTCAATCATAACATGCCGATAAGATGGGTCTCCTTGAGGAAGGTTATTACTGCGTCACTTATGGTGACATCATCTTGCAATAGGTTGGGTACAGTCAGCACGAAGCCTTGCTCGGCAGCTAGGATCACCAGCTGCCGGCGCTCTGGTTCGTACTGGCTGCACTCAGTCAGAATATGTCTGATGGAGAGAATTAGGTTACAAGTGGCACAGATAGGTGGGAAGGAATTGTCAAGATAGGCCCCTAGGTGGGTCAGATAGGTACAGTTCAGCCTTAGTCTGGCGAGAACGACCTCTTCCCTCCTATTCTTTCTATATGCTGAGGGCCAGTTTCCTATATTAGGCTTCCAGGTGTTGTGGAGATCCAACCTAGTCCATTCAAGTTGCCACTTTCCAAATGTATATGTCTTCCCCAAGGAGAGACACGACTGAGTCTCCCAGGGTACATTAGTTGTCTCCCCGAGACCCACAGTCGCTCTTGCTAATCTGTCTGCCTGTTCATTGCCCCAAATGTTACAATGCCCAGGCACCCACACCAGCACAATATTCTTGGCACACTCATGTAATTTATTAATAATGTTGCCCTGTATCTCATTGCTGGTAGTATCACCACCTTGAATTGCTTTAAGAGCTGACATGGAATCTGAAATTACAGCGACATCATTGACATTGCTTGTTATTGCAATGTCAATGGCTCTACTTATTGCGAACATTTCTGCAGAGAATATGGTTGTGCGGCAGGCGGGAGCTCCACTCCCCGTCTCTGCTCCAGATACCGGCTCCGACGTTGTCTTCAGTCTTGGACCCGTCGGTGTACACGTGAGTATAGGCGCTGAATCCTTCAAGAAATTGATAGAAAAGTTGCCTCAGGAGCTCAGGATGAAAGTCATTCTTTGCTCCCGGAAGCCACGATGTTTCCACATGGAAGTTGGGGTTCTCCCATGGCGGACACAACGGTGGAACGTATCTATCAACGTCTTCGAAATGGATACCAGCACCCTGGCACAAGGTCTGGAGGCGGACAACCGAGGACGGGGACCTACGCAGCTGCAGGAAACGGAATTTAGCAACAGCACACCAACCTGGGTGGTCTGTGCCGCGCTTCCTAGCCGTACTCAACCCGTACCTTAGCGTCAACATGTCCCTCAATGGAGAGACAGAGCTTATATACCCCGCAGCAGCCGCTATGAGTCATGGTGGGAAAACCCGAGAAGTAGCCGGTGAATAGTTCCGTTGCTAAGATACGGTAACATCTGGGGACAGCTCTCGCTTGGTTGCTAGGGGAGGCGGCACATTGGAATGCGATACGCAGTTGTAGGGGAGACGTCCACTACAAGATACTCCAAGAGTTCTAAATAGTTTTAATCATTTGCATTTGCTAAACTTCAATATAGTAATATATGGTTATAAAAATATCGATGATGTCAGTATTCTCAAGAATCAGCTGACAGTATTTGGGTTGTTACTCTTCTCTGTTAATTTGTATATGGTGGAAATATCTTATGTTGAGGGAGGTATTATATAAAACTACTTAGGCATTTTTGGCAAAGAAACATTTAGTAACAAAATCTCGAAAATTAAAGATAATTTATAATATTTTAGAATATTATGGTCATATTGCGGGCGTTTCAAAAATAAATATAAGGTAAAACTATTGTGTTGTGTGAGCCCTGACAAGAGCGTTACCACAGTCCTTCCCGTCAACAGCAAGGTGTGTGGTGCCAGGAATATTGGTCTGTAAACCTGTAATATTGTATTGTCAGGATTCATTTATGTATTAATATAGAGAAGATGTGTGCAGGGATCATGGTGTTGTAAGAGAGGGAGAGCCTTATAAGTGTTGTGAGGATATTTTGGACAAGGTAATATATGACTATTTTACCCTATGTTATATTAATGTGTGTTGTATGTATTGTTCCTTGTGAATAATGGTAAAAGTGTACAGGAGGGTGACCACCAGAAGGAATTGTCCCAATTAGTTGATATTTTTGTCAATTTATAGTATCACACCGGAAATGACGTGTTTTGTAGATACTCCCCCCCCCCCACACCCAACAATCATAACGGAAAACGTTTTATTTTCTCGAATAAATAACATAAATTACATTACCAACCAACCAAGAAAACTTAACCTAACCGTCGGAGGCCTAGAGCGATACGTGAGCAGGGGGTCAGACCGCCTCCGCCATAAGTAAACTAATAATGGCTACACTTGTGACTGAGCAAAAGCAATAATCTTGAAACATTAATATCTCAGTTAGGTTAATATATACGACTAACCCGCCGGGCCGCATAGAGCCTATGCGGCCATATCATCCCGCGTCCAGAAAATGCCTCAAATTTTACCACATCGTAGTAAGTTCTTTCTGTTTAATATAACCGGAGAAGTTAGGTAAGGTTAGGTAAAGGTTTGGTTGGTTAGGTCTGTTTTTCATACCCACAATGTTAGGTAACGTTTATTTTTAAAATATCCAATTTTTAACAATTTCACAAACAACAACAGTGTCCACTATAATATAACAATGAAAATCCAGCATTTTTATAATCGTTTTCAATCAATTTCGCCCGCGGGTTAGCCCTATATAATTACCCTCGGTTATCCTTAATAATTTCTGGTGGAAATATCATAGAAGAAAAATGTCTTAGAATTGTGTAAACATTACTAGATACATATTTTTAATACGGAAATAAAGACCGGTGTGATAATATAGATTCATCAAAAAAATTCTACACACTTATATCATGATATTAAAAACAAAAATGGAAACGACAATGTTTAGAACCTGACCTAACATACCCATAGGTTGGGTTTGTTAGGTCAGGTTTTATTAAGTTCTGTGCATTATTTTGTGTTTATTTTTTTATATAATGCTAATAACATTATTTGGTAATTATATAGGACTAACCGGTGGCCGAATTTGATTGAAAACGATTATAAACACGCTGGATTTTTATTGTTATATTATAGTGGACACGTTGTAGTTTGGGCAAATGTGTTAATAATTGTATATTTTAATAATATACGTTGCCTAACATTGTGGTTATGAAGAACAGACCTAACCAACCAAACCTACCTAAGCTTACCTAACATTCTTATGCCCCCTCCCCCCGGTATATTAAACAGAAAAAACTTAGTATGATATGTTGTAATTTGAGGCATTTAATGGACTCGAGATGTATCGGCGCTCACTGAGCCCGGACAGCTGAGTGATTTGTTATTGAGTTGGCGGGAAACGCGAGCCACAGCGTCGTTGAAGTGATGGATGATTGTTTCCAAACAGCAGCTGACCTAGCACACAAACCCAGTTCTATTTCACAGTACAGTATTGCTGTGAACAATACTTTCTACTTAAAGGAACAATGCCGTGGTCTTTGAAAAACTTTAGGGTCTCGTTGTCTTTATCCCTAAATTCACAAATTACGTCCATGAAAGACCGGCGACAACCTTCACACGTCATGCTGAAAATGAAACTGCTCTCTTGAGCGCTGCCTCATTACTGCCGGCAAGACAAACTAGTGCACGCCTAGGCGCCTAATTATCTATGAAACGAACAATTTCCACCATAAATGATTTATCATATCGCAACTCACTGATGAAAATAATGTAAGAAAATAAACAATAATAAATAACTCGTCGGCAGGTTAGTCCTATATATTAATCCATTATATTAAACACACAAATGGAAATGACAGGGCATAGAACCTGGCAATCTTTTTATTTACTCTGTCTCGATTCACAATTCTCCTCCCGGCGCCATTTTTGTTGATTACCTAGCTAAATCCCTTTACAAGAGACATATCCTAAATAATGGTGAACGCTTCCACGTAATAGTATGAGCACGATTGACGCCCAACCTCGACCACGGCCATTTAAGTCCTGAACAAGTGTACAATGCTGACGAGACTGCCTTATTTTGGAGATGTACGCCAAAAAGAACTCTGACAACTGAGGATGCAGAATCGTCATCGGGGTTTAAAGCTTCGAAGGATCGCGTCACGGTAATGTGCTGCTCTAATGCTGCGGGTACCCATAGATGTAAGTTGCTTGTTATTGGAAAAAGTTTATATCCGAGGGTCTTTAAGGGTATGACACGGTTTCCTGTCCATTACCGTGCCAACAAGAAGGGTTGGGCTACCACTGATATTACATTGGATTGGTTTCATAAATGTTTTGTTCCTGAGGCCAGGGCTCATTGTAACTCAGTTGGACTAGACCCTAAATGCAAGATACTTCTTATTTTAGACAATTGTTCGGCACATCCAAAAGCCGATCTTCTAGTGAAAGATAATGTTTTTGTTACCTACCTCCCACCCAACTGCACATCACTAATTCAACCACAGGACAATGGTATCATACGTTCTATGAAGTGTAAGTATCGATCCCTGTTAATGAGGCGCCTAGTGAGTTCAGTTAATTCAGGCACCCCAGTACAGAGATTCATAAAAGAGTTAAACATTAAGGATGCAGTGTACTGTGTTGCCAATGCTTGGACGTCTATTAAAACATCAACACTGAAAAATGGATGGCATAAATTGTGGCCAAGTTTAATGTTTACTTCTCATTCTAACGAAGACACAGAAAATGATTTTGCAGGATTTAGGGTTTCCAAAGAAGAGCAACTTATACATGAACTTCTTGCTTATGTTAAAGATGTAACTAATCCTGATGCCAAGGAGCTTTCATCAAGGATAAATGAAGATGTTTTAACAGAATGGTTGGATGTTGATGATAATGTGCCTACAGTTCATCATTACACTGATTCTGAAATTGTAGATATGGTTAAAAGTCCGGAGAGAAATGCCTTTACAGGTAGTGATGAAGATGAAAGCAGTGAAGAAAATGAGGAAGATGTGAGAGAGAGAATCTCTATTGACAGGTTAATTGCGTTGACAACTGAACTGCTGGCTGGACTAGAGCAACGAAGTTTTGTAAGTGAACAAGAAATCATGAATGTTTTCTTGCTCCAAGATAAACTTATTAGAGAAAGACCCAAGTGTATGAAGCAACAGACATTGCCCGATATATTCAAGAAAATAGCTAGGAAGCAGGAAGAAGCAACAGCGGTGTCCACACTTGATAATCCACTGCCATCAACTTCAAGACAAGTTGAAGCTGTTCCTGTTGCTGAGGATGTTGTCACTGTCAGTGATACAGATGATAATCCTGACAGCCCATCTGCTGTTTAGCCTGATAAACATTATAATTTCATTTGATTTTCATTTAGTGTTTAATTTTCTATTTTTTTAAAGGACTGTACAGGTAGTAATTTTCTGTTAAATATACTGTATACAGCATATATAATAAAATTTCATTTGGTTTTCATTAGGTGTTTAATTTTCTTTGTTTAAAGGACTGTACAGGTAGTCATTTTCTGTTGAACTTATACAGCAAATATAACCATCAGTTTTCCGGCATTTTCGAAAATCCGGCACTCCTCAGGTCCCGAGGTTGCCGGATTTTTGATAGTCAACAGTGAGTTCTGCTATAACGCGTGTTTTGACAACGCGAATTGGCTCTAACGCAATTTATGAATAGAGGAACGATATTTGTATAACGCGAACGCTTGTTTGCTGTAACGCGATTTTTGCTTACTATTTCTCCAATTTTGTGGTATTAACTGTGAATATGGTAAAGAAGAATATCTCCAAGAAGCGTTCTGGTGATCGCATTCCCGGTGATGATCATAAAAGAAAGGCTATAACCCTTGAAGAGAAGCTCGATGTTATCAACCTCAAAATCACCCTTCTCCCCCATCAAGTTATATTCATATTTTTTCAAGGTAAAGTGTTACATTTACTGTATGATTTCATTATTAGATATGAATGTAACATTTATTTAGACTGTGCTATCCTTTGTGTTAGGCTAACTACTAAATTTTTTCGATTTCGAGTAGTAATCTGCACCTAACCCTATTTTCTCCATAAGCCCTGTTATTTCTATTACGCGAATTTCTATAACACGATGTTTTACAAGAACACAACTATCGCGTTATAGCAGAACTGACTGTGTATGTATATATATATATATATATATATATATATATATATATATATATATATATATATATATATATATATATATATATATATATATATATATATATATATATATATACACAGTTTTACCCCGCTTAACGCGCTTTCACTTAACGCGTTTTCGCATATATGCGGTGCCTTGCCAAAGCTGAACTTTCACTTAACGCTGCATTTTTCCACAGCAACGCGGTGAGTGTCCGGCTCGAGAGCTATTTTTAGATTCGCACCACCCCCCACCCGCCACCCTGCCTGACTGCCTGTTTTAGCTCATAAAATTCATACAAATTACCCAGCCAGAATATAATTTACATTGCTGGAATTCTTATAATTTGGTGATCATTTTGAATATAAACAACATATATTTTGCATTAAACATACAATTTTTAGATAAAAATATTTCTCTAGGTAACTATGTAATCTTTTGTCCAAAATATATGACATTTATATTCAAAATATTCCTGGTCTTACAAGGAATCCAGCAATGTCAATTATATTATCCTAACTTTAGTTTGAGGTATTATTTATTAAAATTTAGTGGTTATCCCACACATCTCCTTGGGACGGTTGGTGGGGGGTGGGGGGTGGGGGGAGGGAGGGACCGACCGACCGACCATCTGTTACCCCGTGAAGAATTATTTTTTTTTTTATTAACTGAAGATATTTGTTTTAGCTCATAAAATTCATACAAATTACCCGGTCAGAATATAATTTACATTGCTGGAATTCTTATAATTTGGTGATCATTTTGAATATAAACAACATATATTTTGCATTAAACATACAATTTTTAGATAAAAATTGTTCTCTAGGTAACTATGTTATCTTTTGTCCAAAATATATGACATTTATATTCAAAATATTCCTGGTCTTACAAGGAATCCAGCAATGTCAATTATATTATCCTAACTTTAATCTGAGGTATTATTTAATACTAAATGTTATAAACTCTGGAAGGGAGGATTGGTGGGGGGTGGGGGGAGGGTTGGGACTGACCACGCGGTTGGAAGAGGGGGGGAAGGCAAGGTGGGGTACTTTGATTGACAGATAGTGTCGAAGAATATTTTTTTTTTTTTATTAACTGAAGATATTTGTTTTAGCTCATAAAATTCATACAAATTATCCGGCCAGAATATAATTTACATTGCTGGAATTCTTACAATTTGCTGATCATTTTGAATATAAACATCATAGATTTTGCATTAGACATACAAATTTTTGATGTAAAGTTTATTCTGAGTAAATATGTTATCTTTTGTGAAAAATATATGACATTTATATTCAAAATATTCCTGGTCTTACAAGGAATCCAGCAATGTCAATTATATTATCCTAACTTTAGTTTGAGGAATTATTTATTACTATACCTGGTTTTCCCCCAAAAATTTCTCAGAGGGAAGAGCCAGTGAGTGTAGTGTGAGAAGAGGGGGAGGGAGTTGAGTCCATTATTTGAATGGACATTAACTTGGCGACTGTATTTCTCTATTTCTCTTAAGTATTAATTGTGTGCATGTACCATCATAAAATTAAGATGTTATTTTTACTACAACATAGTTATTTGTCGTCAAAAAGTGGAGTTTGGGGGTCGGGCTGGGTTCTATTGGAATTAATCCCATATGTTCTGTTATTCACTTAACGAGGTTTTCACTTAACGCAGGACCCTCTGGGTTCAATTGACCGCGTTAAGTGGGGTACAACTGTATACAGTGACCCCTCGTTTAACGAACACCTCGGTTAACGTAATTTCGATTAACGAACTGCCTTCCATAAGGATCTTCAATTCGGTTAACGAAAAAAAATTCGCTTAACGAACTTCTTACGAACCGACCTCAACATGTTTTCGCTTGCACTGACCGGGCAACCAGCTTTAGTATCAGTCCGCCAATACATTAATCGGTTCTAGGGCTTAAATTCCTTACTATTTTTGTAAATATCAAGAAGTTTATACTATTCAATAATTTTGAAAGTTTAATGTAAAATCTTTTTAGTCATTTTAACAATTATTTAACATAAGTGAAGGTAAAGAAACTAGTTTCTGGCACGCCATCCAGCCTGTTAACACAGCAAACAGGCGTTAGTCTCTCTCTGTTTTCAGTGGAGGTAACATCTTGCTTGAGACTCTCTTCAACTAAACGCTTTTTTTCTGTGTTTCCAAGCAAATTATTGGTCATTTTGAAATATATTTTATATATTGACAATATATAATGCAGTGCAGCGTTGATTTAAAGAAAATAATCTTGAATTAAACCAGAGAGCTAAAATTTTATGGGTGAAATGGCACCATGGGGTGACTTCTCTTCCACCCCAATGCCTTCTCTTCTTCCTTCTCCTCCACCCCCATTCTAAATCCCATCATCATCATCATCATCATCCAGGAGCCTTCTACATACACACCTCAAAGTAAGTGAACTTTTCTACCATTTTTGTTGAATTTAGGAAATGTTCGGTGAGCTGGAACCAATTACCCAAAAACCCATTGAAACAATGGTTTCGTTTGGTTAACGAACGACCTTCTGGAACGTTGAGTTAGATTAACAGTATATATATTATATATATATATATATATATATATATATATATATATATATATATATATATATATATATATATATATATATATATATATATATATATATATATATATATATATATATATATATATATATATATATATATATATATATATATATATATATATATATATATATATATATATATATATACATACATACAGGTTGTACCTCTCTAGTCCGGCATTCTGTGGTCCGGAACGATTTTAGTTTGTCCAATAGGTAGATAGGCAGCTTTTTTTTCTTCTTTTTTTTTTCCTTATCTGAATTATTATTATTATTACAGGAGTATTAAATTTTTGCCCCTCAGGCCCCAATGTGGGTCAGTGACCTATGCCCGGGTGGGCTAATTCCTGAAAAAAAAAATAACAACAAAGCCACGGGAAATTAAAGTTTGTTTACATCCAGCAGTTCGGCTGCTCACTCTCTCTCTCTCTGCTTGTCTATACAGAGTACAACATTTAACCCTTCAATATATATGAGCAATAAATACAGTCGGCCCTTAACATACGCGGGTTTATAATACACGGATTTGCAAATACGCGGATTGCCCCGCCGGAGGAATATTCTGTACATTGAAGTAATTGAAGTACATTCAAATCGCGCGCCATTCAACTTGCGCGCGGCACCGAACACGGGACACCGCCCGCTCCCGCAACCTCACACACACACACACACGCATAGCTCTCCCTCACTCAGTCAATCTCGCTGTAACCACGCTTGTGTTGACATCAGCATTGTAGTTGCAAAAATATTACATTTCCGTGAATGTATTATATCAAGCACAGTATGAATAGAATATCACTAATATAAGAGTATTTTAACCGAAAACTACTAAAAAAACGAGTAACATATCTTGAACATCGGAAGGCTAGGTAAAGTCTTTTGTTTTCCTGTAGTTTTTCCAACTTACATTGAAATGCATTACGTTTCAGCAAAACTACTATTTATTTCTGAGAATATGGAAATGTAATATTTTGCTGAAATGACATAAGTATTACAGTGGAAAGTGAAGAAAGCAATGACTCGCTTTCTTTCGTTCAAAAGATGTTACCGTAATCGCTTTTCGAATGGTTTTCAGTTAAAAAACTGTTGTATTACAATAATATTCTGTCCTAATTCACTTGTGATGCAACAGTTTTTTTAACTGAAAACCATTCAAAAAGCGATTACGGTAACATCTTTTGAACGAAAGAAAGCAAAAGTCATTGTTTTCGTCACTTTCCACTGTAATACGTACGTCATTTCAGCAAAAATATTACATTTCCGTGAATGTAGTATATCAAGCACAGTATGAATATAATATCATTGTAATATAATAGTATTTTAACCGAAAACTATTAAAAAAACGAGTAACATCTCTTGAACATTGGAAGGTTGGGTAAAGTCTTTTGTTTTCGTCATGTATTTTATCCTATTTTACATTGAAATACATCACGTTTCAGCAAAACTACTATTCATTTCTGAGAATATATTCATTCAGGCGCAGTTTAGGTAAAATATACATGTGCTGTAACATTTTTTTAATTGAAAACGATTCGAAAAACTCGTACCCTCTAGCCCTGTTCAAGGAGAAGACTGGGA